CACATGGCTGACCATGGTTTGAGTCCCAGACCTGGTGGCTTACTTTCTCATTTTCTCTCTCTCTCTTTCTGTGGTCAAATTAAAAAAATCATTTTAAAACAGCAGTCTATTTTAATATCCTACTTTATTCTAAAACTGGCTGGCTGATTCTATGGTTGATGTCATTTTTTTAAAATAATGATTTAGTTTAATATTGTTTATTATTATTGTTATCAACATTACTTAATTTGACCAGACACACACACACACACACACACACACACACACACACACAGAGAGAGAGAGAGAGAGAGAGAGAGAGGGAGAGAAAGAAGGAAAGCAAGAAAGCAATCGCCAAGTCCAGGACTTGAACCAAGATCGGCCATGTGGGAGTCCAGTGTCCTAACCCACACACCATCTGCTGGCCCTGTTGATGTCTATTTACATGGATTTCATCAGGTGCAAAGTTTGCATGTAGAGAAACGAGATGTATCTCAGTCCTGTACGCTGGTTTTTAGCACTGGATTTCTGCCTCTCTAGAAAAATTTATTGATTTTACCTTTGTCTTTCCCTCCTTTTACTAGTCTCATTTGAAAAAGATCAAAGGCAACGAGAGCCCAGAGACAAGGGCTTGAAAGACAAGGTCACAGTTATCATTGTGATGACAGCCTATGGCAGAACGAGGTCTTCTGTTTGGAAACTTAACACAGAGTAACTATCAGAGTAATAAAAAATGTACATATTTTTTAATGACTGCTGGAGACTGGGAAGGGTGGGATGCTGATTAACAAAAATAAAAACTGCAGATAGATAGGAGGAGCCATTTCTAGTGTTTGAAATACAGAGGGGAGAACATAGATGGCAACCACTTGCTGCGTATCTCAAAGTAACTAAAAGGGAGGGCTCTGCATGTCCCCAGCAGGTTTAAAGGCAAATGACCCAGGTGACAGGTATGCTCATTATCATGAATGAGTCACTACACACTGGGGGGAAACCCACTGTACAAGTCTGTATAAGTATTGTATGTCTGCCTTTATTTATTTATTCATTTTAATTTGACCAGAGAGGGGCACCGCAAGAGAGAGAAAGAGAGGGAGAAAGTGAGAGAGCAAGCCACCAGTTCTAGTACTCAAACCCCAGGTGGCCATGTGGGAGTCTAGCGCCCTTAACCACCACGCCACCTGTCGGCCCCTACAGATTATTTATTTATTTATTTACATTTGACCAGAGAGGGACACAGTGTGTGTGAGAGAGAGCGAGAGAGAGCGCACATGTACAAGTATGTTAATAAAAAAATTTTTTTAAATTCTTTCCAGTATCTTTGTGCATACTTAGAGATGAAAAATGCTACAAAATGTGGCTGAAGAGATTTTTAAAAAGAACATTTTCCAGAAAACACTTTAAACAAATAGAAATAATACAAAGTGTGGAGTTAACAGCTAACTTTATACATTCACTTAGTAAATATTTACTGAAGGCCTACTTGTGTGCTGGGTTCTGTCTTAAGCCCTGGGGGCTCATCAGAGAGAGGCGGCAATCCTGCCCTGATGGTGTTTCGAAGCCAGCCCGGAGCTGGCCAGGGGAGTGCTGCCACTTGAGAAGTGGGTCTGCTGGTGGACAGGTGGGAATTAACAGACTTGTCTCAACCCAGTCAACCCCATGAGACAGCACTGCCTTTCAGCTACTGTCATCCTCTTTCCCAAGGACAGAAGAGATCAGTGAGATACAGATAAACAAAACACCTTCCGGGGCCAGCAGACGTGGTGGTTAAGGCACAGGATTATCACATGGCTGACCACGGTTCAAATCCTGGACCTGGCAGCTTGCTTTCTCATTTTCTAAAATGCTTTCCCTCTCTATCTCTCTGGTGATCACATGTGCCCTATAGCAAATTTAAATAATAATAATTTAAAAAAAAAAAAGCAGCAAAAACAAAAAGCCTTCCTCACAAAGAGGTCCTCTGGGATCCAAGTACTTTGCTTCTTTTGTGGCTCATTGGAGCGCATTGGCTTCCCTCTCACTTCCTCTTTGACCTGAGGGATGCCAACCCAGCCTAGCTGTGCTCAGGCTTCCTGACTGAACCTGGTCAGAGGACTGATCCATGCACTGCCCAAAGGCCAAGCAATCATGAACACACACACCTGCTCTGCATACAGGGTGTCCTGGATTTAGTGCATATGAATTATGATTGAATATCATATATAGATTTCATGAGGAAAAATAATTTTAGTAGGAATCAATACATTAAACTGAACGATGAATATTAAGATTTAGCGTATTTCGTTTTATAACTTCTTTGGGCTATGATGGCTTCATAAAGACAAAGCTTTTGATTCTGGCACCTCTGCCACTTCACTTCCACCATGAGCAAGCACTAAAATGGGGAGGTTTTGTTTTTGCTACTAAAAATACCTATATTCAGTTCATCATCAGTGACATGTGACTTCTGTAAGTGCATTTACTATAAAATAAGGTCTCTATTTAGTCATAGCCTTTCCTCATAAAACACATTTGAAATTACCAAGAGAATGTAGTTTTCTACAGGCTCTTTAAACCTAGGACCTTTTGGGACCAGCAGGTGGTGGAAGGTGCTGGACTCTGATGTGGTGTTTGAGTCCTGGATCCAGTGGCTTGAAACTCACACCAAATGTATGTGTATGTGCTCAAAATCCCGAGAGGAGAATGGAGAAGGGATTGCAATGTAGCCGTCCCTGTAAAGGGTGATTTCTTGCTTTCTGTCTCTCCAGTAAGCTCACGCACCCTATAGCAAAAGTCTCGAATAAAAACAAAAACAAAAAACCTAGGACCTTTTTTTTTTTTTTCTTTCAAGAGAGTGAAGACAGAGAAAGACAAGCACCCTCTACAGGTTTTCATGCCACCATACTACCCCAAGCCTTCCTAGCTGGCCAGGATCCCAGACATGTACCAAGCACGTATAGGTCAATTGGACGAACAAACTCACAATTTTGTTTGGATCCTAGTTCCCTTTAGTACCACGTTACCACTGTGCCACAAGCTGGCCCAACCCTAGGAAAGTCTTCCTGTCTGCATTCAAGCTATTATAAAGACCATCTACCTGATCAGTATAACACAAATTGCTATAAAACAGTTTCTGGGTTATCCATCACCTTGTCTCCTTCAGGGCTGAGGGATGCGTGATCTGAACCCATGACTTCCTGTGTGATCTGAACCCATGACTTCCTGTGCGGTAGAGAGAAACTAACAGCATTTGGCGGAGACAATGCTTTATCGTACAGAAAACGTAAAACATGCCCTAGCAGGTTTACTGTCTGGTTCCCACGCCCCAGTACGTCAGCAATGCCCCATGGTCATTGTGACCACCTTCCCCCTCCCCCTGCCTGGGAACCACTGCAGCGCCCAGAGCCTCATCACACTGGCAGAATGATGCACAATGCAGTGTCCCTCTACACCTGTTTCGGTGGCTTCTGGAGCTAACCAAAGTGCCCCAGAATACAGAAATGTCTAAAGAACAAGCTCAGGCTTTCCTATTGGAGATCACGGATTCTGCCCCAGTGACAAACTGACAGGGCAGGCCCCTGACAGATCCAATGGCTACTCCCAGCCTTCACGTGATGAAGTTCAATCGTGTTCCCCCTGTGCTATACGATCAGTGACTCACAGTTCCCAGAGGAAGCCAGAGCCCTCTGTGAGCCAGGGGAAGACCTCACCATGTCCCCTGATATAGAACCATGAAGCTTTCTGGCTGAAAGTTAGGGAGTGGCAGGATTTCCAGAAGATGGAAACCACCACAAGTACTCTTATTTTTCCCTTATAGTGGCAGGCTCAGAACATACCAACATAATAAATACTCTTTTCCTTGACCCATCAGTTCTTCTCAATCCAAGTCAATCTTCTCTTCAATGCCATCACACTAACCTTTTTTTTTTTTTTTTTGAGAGGTTTTCGCTACAGGGCGCGTGCGCTCGCCAGACAGACAGAGAGAGACAGAGAGACAGAAAGCAAGAAATCATCCCCCAGAGGGGATGGTCATGCCGCAATCCCTTCTCCTCCATTCTCCTCTCGGGATCTTGGGCATGCACGCACACGCGCCCGGTGTGAGTTTTAAGCCACCGGGTCCGGGACGCGAACCGTGGTCGACTACGTGGGAATCCAGCGACATAGCCATTACGCTAACTGCTGGTTCCCATCACACTAACCTTTTATCTGCTTCCACGTGGTCTGCAGTATTGCAGTAAATATCTCATTTTGAACTAGAAAGTTGTCATTTATTAAATCCTCTTAGCTTTTCTAATTTCATATTCAAAAACATATTCCTTGAGCTTAAATGCTAGGAATTTTCTCCCTCTCTTTTTTTAAAAGTTTACTCATTTATGAGGCCAGCAGGTGGCATGGTGGTTAAGGCACAGGATCCCACATGGCTGACTCTGTGATTCAGTCCCAGACCCATTAGCTTGAGAAGTATTAACTTGAAAAACATGCTGGGTGTGTGTGCGTGTGTGCCCAAAATCCCTAAAAGAGAATGGAAGAGAAGGGACTGAGGCATGGCCATCCCCTTTAGGGGATGATTTCTCACTTTCCCTCTATCACTCTGTCCCTCTCTGGTGAGCTCACAGACCCTGCAGCCAAACTAAAAAGAAAAAAGAAAAGAAAAAGTTTATTAAAGTTTAAAGTTTATTTATTCATATATATATATATATATTTCTTCTGTGGAAGGGGAGGGACATAGGGAATCCTAACAGGGTTCCCATGTAGCACTATGTCCCTAGTGTTAGTCAACCCAGATCACAGGCACACACATGCTCAGGAATGTCCTGGGACAGGAACCCAGGACCCTTCCATGAAGATCCCGGGTACTACCAGTGTACCACCGCTTCACCCCAATAATTGACACTTTTTAAGCACAGCTAAAACTAAAATAGCCGGGGAACATGTCACAGCGCCAATGCCTCCTAATAATGTACCTGTGCAAGTCATCTGGCTTATCTACCTTGGAGAAGGATATAAGCCATTCCACAAAAAAGAGAGGGAGAGAGCGAAAGAGAGAGACCATCAGCCTGTCTCCCCAGACACTCCAGCAAAGGGGATTCAAGGAAAAGCTTCCTAAAATTGGGGGTAGAGTGCTATAGAAATTGGCTGCATGCCTCAGTCCCCTAATGTGTTCAAAGAGGGGACTGAACTTCATTGACTCTAGGATCCTGTCCCGCCTGATAGTTTGAAGGTGAAGCCAAGAGAATAGCAATTTTTATCAAAATCTAGAGACTGAGGAGAGAACTAAGGAATACTTGGTGGAGGCTGGACTCACTGCAGAAAGGGCCTGGGACTGAGGGTATACAGGAATGGACCTAGAGACAGAGCCATCAGGTCCTGCAAGCAGGCCAAGACGAGGGCTCGCAAGGGGTCCAAGCTATGACACCCCTTCACAGCAATCATTCCTGGGTGTACTGGAAAGGACTCTGCAGGAAAGATGTCCTCAGCGAGAACCAGGACAGAGAGAGCCCCTTCAGAAATAAGTGGGGTTTTATTTCCCCCTTTTTTTGGAGAGGTTTTTTCTATAGGGCATGTGCACTCACCAGAAAGACAGAGAGAGACAGAAAGTGAGAAATCACTCCCTGGGGGGATGGTCACGCCTCAATCCCTTCTCCTCCATTCTCCTCTCGAGATCTTGGGCACACACACACATGCGCGCCCGGCGTGAATTTAAGCCACCGGGTCCAGGACTCAAACTGCAGTCGACTACATGGGAGTCCAGCAACATAGCCATTACACTAGCTGCTGGTCCCAGAAATAAGTGTTTGGAAGTGGGGCAGGGTGACTCCAGAAAGGTGAAGGAGAGCTCATGGGCCTTTGAGCTAGCAATCGTAGCCTTGCGTTGAACATTGGTGATTTCTTCTCCCTTTAATCTACAGAAAAACCACAGCCTCTGGCTTCCTACAATTTCTATCAAGAATTCTAGATATCCCTGTTATCATGTCCAAATGGCAGTTCCCACCCACACAATGTGGGCTCTTTTTAAGATCCTTCAACCTTCCATTCCTCTGAGTCAGGAAAGAAAACAAACTCTGAGAGTCAAGATCTGAAAAACCCCTAATTGGGTAGACTCCCCTCCTGAGCAACATCCTCTTTATTCCCAGCCCTGAAAGCCTGAATTCACTTCCCTGTGAACTTAAGACAACTTGCTTCTATGGCGGACTCCTGCTGGAGTGGCAGCGGGTAATCACAGCAGACATCAATCATCCAGGCTCCCCGATGAGGCGCTTCCCTAACTCTGGGAGGCCCAGGCCCGCCCCAAGGAGTGTGTCTATGCCTGTGTGTCACAGAAGTGTCACACCGAGCCAATGGTGACGCTTCATCTCTGCTTGTGTGAGCACTGCTTTCACCTCCTCCTTCCACTGGGCACTACCGGTCTGCAGTCTAAGTACTAACATTCGGAAACAACGTCCGCTGTTGCCATTTACCCAGGTTTTAAGTGGTGGCTTTCAGCTCTGAAAACGGACTTCCTTAGGGAATATCAGACTAGCCCTTACCACCTCCACTATGGTGCTTTAATTCACAAAGAGACAATATTTTCTTTATCATTTCTCACACAAGGGCAGGTTCAACAAGATTCTAGAAATGGTATAATTCTGGTAGTGTGAAAATTACATGCTGGAAATAATTCCACATGCAGAGCACACAAAGTAGGAATTTTTCCACCTTTTTCACTGATGGATTTATAGCAAACACAAACTTTCTTCTATCTGAGGGGCCAATATTTTTCATGTGCTGGTAGGCATTCAGTAGCCCACAAAACCTACTTTACTCTGTTTAATACCTACATAGGTATTTTCCCCCCGATAATAAAAAATAGAAGAGTTCATGCTCTAATAGTACCTTTACTTCTTTTTTTCCTTATAATACAAAAATGAAAACAAAATACAAGGTCATAATAAAATAAATATATAAATATAAATATATGTATATATACACATAAATATATATACACATATGCATAAATATATACACACGTAAATACATATATATATATATACACACATATGCATTTTTCCATAGAAAAAATACTTCATGACCTTTCCGACAACCCAATATATGTCTATAAGTAAGTTTGTTTCTTATTTTTTTCCTTCATATATATATATATCCCTAATACCACCACAATTACAAGTTTGATTTATCAACTTTTAGGATTTTTTCTATATATGTAAACAGAACTACACTGCATGTTTTAAAAAAATGGAATAATTCTATGTATATAGTTTAATAACCTACTCTCTCCTCACTTTATTTACAAACATTTTCCATGAAAATATAAAAAAATATCTGAATGACAAATCATTAAATCAACCTATGATGCTGCCGTTTCTCCACAAAGCCCAATAACAGACTCAGGAAGGAAAAGCTTACTCCAGATAGGAAGAGCTAAGAATCAGGATTCCAAACCTTAGCAGCTTTGTGGTTTTACTGAAAATGTTCACTGTTCACTGACTCGGATCTGAATCACATCTACTGCCTTATGTTGTCACTCAGCGAATATTTTATAGAAAATAATAAAAATGAAAAAGTCATGACACAGTTGGCAGCAAATTGAACTGCAGTGCTGGAGGCCAATGGCCAACCATGGGTTCAGATCCCTAAACTGACATGGAAACACGAGATCCCAGCAACTCAAGAGCAACCCTGTTGGGGATGCTTCGCTTTGCTCACTCTCTCTCTCAAATGCATACACGTGCTCTCTACCATGAATAAAAGAGTCAGAAAGGGGCCAGCAGGTGATTAAAGGCATTGGACTCCCACATGGCCAGTCATGGTTTATGTCTCAGACCTGGTGGCTTCCTTTCTCACTTTCCCTCTCTTCCCCTCTCTTTCTTTCTCTCTGGTCAAATTAGAAAATAATAATAAACAAAGTTAAAATAAAGTAATTCTTTAAAAAAAAGTGAGAAAGTAGTCAGCATGATCCCTTCTGCTGCAACAGAGAGCCTCTGTAACTATACCATAGACAAACCGAGGATCAGTGTTATTCGACCATCATCCTAACCACCACTGCAACATGACCAAGCATTGCGTGAACTGATGCATAACTCTGAGCAAATATCAGTGCTCCCTTGCCCTCCAAAAATGTTCTGGCAGCTAATATTCAACCTCCCTACCCCGCAAGATAGAGTCTCACTACACTGAGGTCCTCTTGCCTCGGCCCCCTTGAGTTACTGGGGTTACAGGCACACACCACTGCACCCAGCCTTTAGGATCTACCAGTAATTGAACTCAAGCCTCCCATGCAGTCCCAGCCTGCAGGATCCTAACAGCACACATCATTGCAGCTGGGCCAAATATTCAACCACCTTTTTTATAAAAAAAAAAGAATAATTTTATTTAGTATTTTTTTAAAAAGGAATTATTTATTTATTATCATTATTCTTCAATTTTGACCAGAGAGAGAGAGAGAGAAAGAGCAACCCGGGACTTCAACCTTGGTCGGCCATGTAGGAGTCCAGCAACATTACCATTACACTGTCAGCTGGTCCCTGTTATTGTTATTTTTTTAATTTGGCCAGTGAGAGAGAGAGGAAAAGTGAGAAAACAAGCGGCCAGATCCAGGACTCGAATTGCAGTTAGCCATGTGGGAGTCTAGCACCTTAACCACCACGCCCCCTCCAAGTCTCTTCAACCACCTTTTAAAGGGATTATGCAATGATGTTACAACATGCTATCTACTTATTGTATTTATCCCAGATGACCTCAAGGAAGAGCAATGAAGTTCAAACGCCCAGAGTTCATGCTCTAACAGTACCTTAACTGCTGGCTATTTCCTCCTTTCTCACAGGGTATTTATTTTGCTGTCTCAAGCTGCTACACTTGTTTAATTCCTTTTCTGATCATTTTAAAGTCTGCAAAACTGGCCTCAAGTAACTCGTAAGACTTACTTACCATGAATATAAGATGCATCCAAACAGGAGCACAGTACCCAGTCCGGTAACCAAGTTTTCATCTCTATACAGGTCTTGACCAAAGTCGGGAATACAGATGGTAACATTCTTCCTATGTTCATCTAGAACTTGTAAAGAAACATTAAAGTAATTAGAAAATTCGACTGGGCATTCATATTGGGAAAATTCGGATAGCTCTGGTGTATCTCCTTAGAGCAGTGACTACTTATCACAGGAAACTTCCACTCTATAGTCCAATTTGACTCAGATTCGATTTTTTTTAATTATTAAATTTTATTTATTCATTTATTTTAATTTGACCAGAGAGAGACACAGAGAGAGAGAGAGAGAGAAAGGGACAAAGGAAGCCGCCGAGTCTGGCTCAAATCGTGGTCAGCCATGTGGGAGTGTCTAGTGCCTTAGTCACCATGCCACCTACTGGTCCCTAGATTTTTTTTAAAGAATTAATTTTTGTATAATTCCATTTGCTATCATTACTTTTTTTTTTTTTTTTAATTTGACCAGACAGAAACAGACAGAGAGAAAGATAGGGAAAGCAAGAAAGCAAGCTGCCAGCTCTGGGACTCAAACCATGGTTAGCCATGTGGGAATCCAGCACCTTCAACCACCACACCATCTACCAGCCCCTGATTAGATTTTTTTTTTTTTAATTAAAGAGAGATTTTTGTTATAGGGTACGTGTACTGCAGGAGAGACAGAGACAGAAAAAGACTCATCCCCTGTGGGGATGAGGTGCCACAATCACTTCTCCTCCTCTTGAGATTTTGGGCAGGCACACACACACACATCCAACGTTTCAAGCTTCTGGGTCCAAAACTCGAACCACGGTTAGCCATGTGGGAGTCCAGTGATGTAACCATTATGCCAACAGCTGGTCCCCAGATGATATTTTTACTATTTCAAAACATCAGCACACACTTGGAATAAGGGCCTGAAATTCCAGCTTAAGGGTCCTTAAGAATTCAACAGATCTAGGACTTCATCATAAGAATCTTATACTTTCTCAGTACTGTTAGAGCAATAGTAAAAAAGGGGCCAGCAGGTGGCATGGTGGTTAAAGGCGCTGGACTTCCACATGGCTGACGACAGACAGTTCAAGTCCCAGAACTTGTGGCTTGCTTTCTTTCCTTCCCATTCTCCCTCCTCCTCTTTTTTCGTCTCTCTCTGGTGAGTGTGCGCTATAGCAACTTAAAATAAATTAATTAATTTAATTAAATTAATAATCTTTAAAACAAATTAGA